ACTTTGGGTTATGGAATCAACCAACTTTTTAAAAGGTGTGAACGATTTAGATATCTTGGGTCCGTTGTCCAAAGCGATGGTGATATAGATGAGGATGTTAATAGTAGAATTCAAGTTGGTTGGTTGAAGTGAAGGAATGCTTCGGGTTTTTTGTGTGATAGAAAAGTACCGCTAAGACTGAAAGGAAAATTTTATAAGATGGTGGTGAGACCTGCAATGCTCTATGGCGCTGAATGTTGGCCTTTAAAAGAGAAGCATAATAATAAGTTAAGTGTTGCCGAGATGAGAATGATTAGGTGGATGAGTGGCTTTACACTTAGAGACAAAATGCGGAATGAATATATTTGTGATAGGGTTGGTGTAGCTCCTGTGACAGACAAAATTAGAGAAAGTCGTCTTAGATGGTTTGGTCATATTAAACGTCGACCATTAGATGATCCGATTAGGAGAGTAGATGTTTTAAATTCGACTTGTGTTAAGAAAGGCAGAGGTAGACCTAGGAAGACTTGGGCTTATTGTATTAAAAATGATCTTAATTTACTAGAACTAAATGAAAATATGACACTAAATAGGACGCAATGGAGAAAAAGGATTCATGTAGCCGACCCCACGTAGTGGGATTAAGGCTTTGTTGTTGTTGTTGTTGTTGTTGTTGAAATTGACTTGATATAAATAGGACTTACTTTTTGGTTTCTTATCAGTGTTGATAGATTTGAAGTCAATCTATTTTTATAAAAATATCAAGGAGAAGAACTTATTTAATTTTTTGGGAGGCAAGAAACACAATTATTGGTTGATATTATGCACTTTTTTTGCATATAATTTGAATTTTATTGATTGAGTTTTGCATTGTTCTTATATTGACAAAAAATAAAAAATAAAAACAAAAAAAATTTGAAAAAAGGAAGATATAGGGGGAAAAAATAATGATTGCTGTTTTTTATTTTGCTTTTAACGGCCTTCAACTTAGAGTTCAGCCTACTTTTGTAGGAGAATGATTTTTTGTCCCACCAGGCCTAGGCTTGGCACAATAATTGCGCACTCTATAACAACTGGGCATAATTGGGGGAAGCATTACCCGGCTATATATATATATATATATA